ATTCAGAAAAAAATCGTTTGTTATTAAATATTGTAGCTTTATTAAATAATGTTGGTAAGTTTGTAGAGCTGAATTAAACTTTAATAAACATTCGGTTTCTTAGAGTGGTTTAACTGTCAAGGAATAGTGGTAATAACTGTTTTCCTCTCAATACAATACAATATAGAAGATTCATAAAAAAAAAATGTATTTCAAAATCCCATTAAAATATTGTTTATTAGCAAAAATATCCAAGCAAATTAATGAAAAATAGCTGGATGGTTCGTTCATTTTAAATGAAAAATTTTTCTTGAATATTCAACTGATAATCCGATAATTAGTTTAGTATCATTTTTGCTTTGGATGTATTTGTTTTATTTTTATTTATACACACATACAATTAGGTGGGTACTTTGTCATTCCGTTTTTGACTAACGGCAATTAGGTGCTAAAACACACTATACGTTAAAACCTACAGCAATATTATGATTAAGTACGTGCGAACTGGAAGTTTTTTCATTTTAAGTTGTAACCAAATTTTGTCATCTGCGGTTGTAATATATTTTTTTTTCCTTTGTACCCGCCTTCTGCCTCCTTCTCTTCACATAACCGAGATTGGGCGTATTCCAGACGGTATTTTTCTGGAGAGGAAACGGGTTATATAATATGTAAGTGCACATTAACTTCGAAGTCCCGGACGTTTGTCACCACAAACAGGAGCGGGAGGAAAATAGAATAAAAATATATTTAAGAACTTCAGAGAACTTATTTTTTCCACTCTTTAGAGTCGCTTTATGAAATTACTTTTTGAAAAGTTTCTCATTTTATTGCTTTTCCTCTCTTTTTTTCTTTCACTCGTTCACTCTATCGGTACGCGTAAAGTATTTTCTTCTTATTCAAAAATTAGATTTTCAACACCCAAACTGTCACTATGAACGTGTCGCATTAAGAATGTACAAACATTTTTCATGGCACTAAAATTGTTTTTGGTTTCGGTACCTTGGTTTATTTTAAATAAAAATAAATGTACAATACTTTTGTTTTATTATCTTTTTAGCTAAAGGCGTACTTAGATTGGAGCCACCCAAAATGTCAGAGAAACCTGATAGCGAAAAATACGGTATAATCAATCAAACATTCTAATTTTCATAAAGAAATAAACTTTAAAATATATATTTTTTTTTTCTTGAAACTAAAAAAAAAAAATATGAAATGGCTTTGAAAGTCCACTACCTTTGTAGTATCTTTTTTTAAATGTTATGATTTTAAGTATAGCAATATGTATTTTATAATTAATGATATTCCTTTGAATTTTACAAAAATGTAAAGGCTTAACAAAGAGTAAATAAGTTCAAATATAAACCTAAAAATTAAAAAACAAATTTTGGACAAATTCTGAACAAAATAAAATAATAATAATAAAAATTCAATGCAAAAATATCATTATAATTTATAAACCATTGGCGTAAATTCAGTGGGCGCTATACTCAAAACTCTATAAGTTTCAATTAGTAATATTAAATTGGTCATGTTCAATAAATCTTCCACTAAAAACAAATTAAAATTGTAGGCTTTTTACTATTTTAGCTTATTTTTAAGTGTTTGATTATTGACTAGTACCTTTAGAAATATTCCACAAGACTGAATGAATTGCCTGGTTATTAAAATTATAATTATAAAAAAACAATCATTCAAACTATAGATTTATAAGTTTACTTAATTTTTAGAAGCTTAAGATAACATCGAGTATAATATTTACCCTGAGCACGAGCGTATGCAGCTTGCCTATCTCAAACGCCGTTATAGATTAAGTGTACAATTTTCTAAAAAATAAAATTTTATTTTAATTCATAACTATTAAATTTCAATTAAACAGTAATAGTGATAAATATTTTACCTAAAACAATTTATTTTGAGGTTTTTTTTTATAGAAAATATTATTTTAATATCGTGTTTTCTACATTGTTAATTCTTAAGTAAATATGAGTTTTTAAAAGATGTATATTAGCATACCATTATTGATGTCCACTTAATACTTCTTATACTATCAGCCTATTAGTGATGGGAAATAAATCCGGATTTTCTTAAAATCCGTAAAATCCGGTTTTCGGTTTTCGAAGTTCAATGAAAAAAATCCGGATTTTACGAAGAATCCGGATTTTACGAAGAATCCGGGTTTAATGACAAATCCGGATTTCAAAATTTGAACTTAAGAAACCGTAATCTGGGTTTAAATAAAAAGCCAAATTACCGATTTTTTAATTTATAAAGCCATTTTGTAATTACTAATTCAGCAGTACAAGATGACCAAATTGTTCAAATTAGTTGACTTTTAATCCTCTATGAAATGCTATTATCGGACCCCTTCAACTAAATTACCCTAAGTTATATGTTTCTAATGAACTTTAAGTTTCATATATGTAATCTAGCTCAAATACAAAGTAAGTATGCTGTATTACAGTTCACTATTTGTGATATATTGAAAACAATTACCTATTTAAAAATTGTAAGCTATATTTGAGTAGTTTTTACATGCTTTTCTTTAACTCGCTAACACGTACGTACGTCCGTACGTTTGTACGGATATTTTTCAAATCTTGCAAAATTAATTTAACCCACTTCCCGATGTCGTAGAAGGCTGAAACATGGCACAGACACTCAACTCGGATGACACTATAATATAATGTTATCATATTGGGACTCGGGCATCCAGGTCGCCCTACACAGAGTCATATGTGGGGGTCATTTCACTAAAATTTCATGTTTTTTTCAAATCTTCTAAAATTAATTTAACCCACTTCCTGATATCATATAGGCTAAAATTTAACCTAGACACTCATTTTTGGATGACAATACAATGTTCCGTCAAAATATTGGGACCTAGACATCCAGGTCGCAAATGCCGGGGGGTCAAATATGGCGACCATTTCACTAAAATTTAATTTTTTTTTTCAAATCTTCTAAAATGAATTTAGTAATCTATTCACCAATTATTAAGTACCTTTAATAGGACGAAATACGGATTTCGAAGTTCGAATACTACAACTCCGGATTTTGAATTTCAAAGTTTAAAACTCCGGTTTTTTGAACTTCGCAAAATCCGGATTTTCCCATCACTACAGCCTATATAGTATACTTTCAACGCAGTTACATGGTACATTTTTGTGACGTAATTTACGACTCATGAAATCTCATTACATAATTGTGTCGAAGGTATATGAACTATAGAGATGCGGGTATCAGAGGAAAATTAAAAAAAAAACTAACTCACTCTCAATTATTCATTCTCTCCAAGAAAATAGGTATACTTCTTATTACTTATTTGCAATTTACGTGTATTTTAAATAAAAAATAGATAACTTTAATCAGCTTAAATTTTCATATATTTTCTTCTTCAATGTATGTTTAAAATAAAACGTCTTTGTTTTATCGAACATTTTCAGAAAAAAATATATTTTACATTATGCATTACTATGGAACTCATGTGAACTACACAAAAGTAACAATAGAATAAAACGTGGTAAAATGATCTCTATGTTATTATATCATATTATGGCAGCAGAGTAAGATCTGTGTAATTGATAAAGCGCAAAAAAACGTTCTAGATAAAACGATTTTCTCTTTTCCTAGCATAATACTTCTCGACATAAATATAGCTATGCCTGCATATAATTTATACCGCCACTCTCCACACTTGTTTCGAAACATATTTACACTGAAACGTTCCTATGAGTTTTCTTGACGTTTATTACTACGATGAAATGTCGGCATCGTTTTGTGGAAATAGTACGCCTTCTCTTTTGCAGAGACTGACGACGCAGAAAAACGTAGGTTATGGTAGAGCATTTTTAACACAACACATAACCAGAATTTCGCGCATGTGTATATCTATAAGTACTATATATAATAAATGAACATGCAAAAAGAAATAGTTAAATACTGTTTCTAATAAAATAATATCGACCCGAAAATGAGAAGGTCGTATCACTATAATTAAATTAAATGTCGAAAAACCCCTTAGTTCAATAAAGTCGAATCACCAAATATTATTAAAACATATTATTTAAATTAAAAAAAAAACAAGTCTCATGAAAAATTGACTAATTTTTATGTACAACAAAAATTTAATTACTACTTCAATTAAGTGGTACAGTATTCGTTTTATAATCTTGCTTCGGAAAATTGATCTTATTAAAACAACAGTGAAGTAAAAGAAGACTTCCTAAAAAAAAAACCGTACATTTATTATAAATGTTTCTATTATTTTACAAGTATAAGTTTAAAAGTATATAACGCTGAAGTAACTAATAACCATGAATATACCTCTAGTAGCAAAAATTATGTGTATGGTTATTGGATATATATTAAAGTGCATTACTGAATTTCTCAAAAAAAAAAATTCACTTATGACACCTATACAAGACAATAGTGTGTCACAACTTACCCCACGCTTCTTCTCATTTACTCCTCCTAAAAAATTAATAAACACTCCCTTAAAAGGTGATCTTCCCTTACATCCTGACTTATCAATTGAGTCATCTTAAAATGAAATTTGGATTTAAACAGTCATAATTTTTAATTTATGGGAAAAACTTTTATTTTTAATTCAAACGATAATAAGTTATTTTCTTACAATACATACAATATATTGAAAGTTTGAAGTCGATTGGCTGTGATTAAGCAATTCAACATAAACTGTACGATAAAAATTCCTTTTAGATCAATTTATTTTTATCAAATATTTTTTTTATACTGTATACCTTATACATTTTTTAATAAATAGTCCTTTCCATTACGCACAACACACGCCAGTTAAACCAACAGAGTTTGACAAACATTGAAATAATAAATTGCATAAGACATAAAAAATAAGATATTTCTTTTACTTTTAAAATAAATCAAATAATTTTATTAGATCTTAAATACTTTTAATATTTATTTTGAAACACAAGTTTTTAAAATCCTAAACAAAAATAACTAAATATATAAAATAAATCGAATACAAAAAATTATCCGTGCATAATAAATTATTTATGTACAAGTATCTTAGATTAATAAATAACAATACATTTTAAATGAATAACAAATAAATTTGTAATAAATAACCCAATTATAAATGATTAAATAAAAAATAAATATTTGTTTATTGACGGTTTTAGAGGAGAAATGACAGACGATATCATATGTGTTCTTTTTTAAACACAAAATAGACGAAGAAAATAGTTGTATTTAATAAAAAAAAAAATGTTTACTTGATAAATTAAGTATTTTATATAAAACTCAATGTATAACTCATAACCGTCATGCGGCTGATAAAATATTTTCTTCTAAATGCTACTAAAGTTTGAATTGTGATAAAAAAACACATTTGGTAATGCCATGATTTTGACACCGCCTAGGAATAACAATGTAGTCTTCTTTTTCTTCTTCACTTCATTCTATGCAAATAGGACAGACCAGCCATTTCTCACAATCCACAAATCTTTCATCGTCGTTTCTTTACTCGCTCCTCTCGTCATCTTCATAACATACAGGATGATAATTTTACCGTGAACCACTCAATATGTTGTTATTGATATTTATAGCACGTTCAACCATGAACCTGCTTCCAACTCTTATCACTTATTTATTTTCTTTGAATTAACTTTCTGAAAACAATAATATTTTATAATAGAAGTCGTCATCTACACAATAAAATCGATTGCGTTTTTTATAATATCTTAACAGAATGTTTATTATTAAATATTATTAAAAAGTAACACTTTTTTATATCCTAAAAGTGAACAAATATTTTAATTATAATATAATTAATGGTACGTACTTAATGCAAATTATAATATTTTAATTACAAAAATACATGATTATAGTTATAAAAATTAAAGCTATTTGCAGTTTTTTGACTGAATCAAATCAGTTGTTTGAGCGAATTATGAAATTAACGATGACCATTGATAGTAACTTAGCACAACCACTGTGGTAAGATCCCTCTGCCGTTAAGCCATCTTGTAATGTTAATTCATTGGCTAAACAAACACATTTAAATGTTATGACGTAGGTATCAAACAGTTCTTAATAGTTAATAATAAGAAAACTAATAAAATGGAGCAATATTAATAGAACAGTAATAAAATAATTATTTATATTATTTGTATTTTCCGAATTATCTATTAAATTACTATTTTTTTTTTAATAGTTAAACTAAAAACTAACCTGATAGAATAACGTGTAATGTGAATGAACTAGAAGTCCAATAGCCTGACACGCAAGTGTATTTACCAGAATCAGGGTAAGTAACGTTGGCCAGTGTTAGACGACTAACTATTTTGTTTGGCGATCTATCCGTCTCGATACTTATGCTGCTTTTGTGGCCCTAAATAAATATTATTAGTTAGTGTTAGACAATGGCTGTTAATATTGAGTTGTTGGACCACAATTTTTTATTTAAGTTTAAATAAAAAAAAAAAACATTCGTCTCTAATATTTGTATTTAGTACACTGTTTTCAAATAATGATTTAATAATTTTCTATTTTTCAAAAATAGAACTTTGTGCGAATTGCAATTTATGACTATTTTAAGCAAAACAAGTTTAGTATAATGGTTAAACTAGTTTATCTTTTTACTTTTATGTTTTTTGCATATTTGTCGTGTATCAATTGCGTCTACTGACTTACAACACACAGTACACACATACCCGCAGCCGTATATTTGTGTACAAAAGAGGAAACGGGTATCAGCTGGTTTTAATATGTTCATAGATAACTTTGACAAACAACCCTCTAACCCTTGTAACCTGTCCAATAAAAACCCCGATCCCTTGAAATTGTAACACGTACAAAAGGTCTTAAACCCTTACCAGCAGTAAGAATACATAAGCAAAGAATTAGGTCAATATCGAGAAATGACTATCTACCCCTTTTTTTAACGTATTTTATACCAAATGTCAACCCTCATATATTTTTATTTTCTCGCAATTTCTGTCAGTTTCATAGAAATCAATAGTATATTTATGCCCCAAAAATGCCACTTAACGACTACAGTTTAGTTATTTAATAAGTACCTATCGATAATTATATAGTGTGATTTAACGTAAAAGTAGTAATTTAAAACTCGATTGATATATCGACATTTTCAACAAACTATTCTTATTTCAAAAACTTAATTTAATGTATTATACGTAAACGTTTAGGTTGCATAAGTTGATAAGCGCTCTGAAAGTACTACAAAAGGTAAATACTTGGTAACTTCATAATATTATATAACAACATACATAAAACAATTTTCAAAAAAAACTACAATATTGTAATTATTTTCTGTTAAATGGAACTACTGATATTCCCGCAATACTTTAAAAATAAACTTAGAAAATTATAATACAAAAGGTCTTTTCGAGAATAATCGATTTTACTTTTACGGTGTATTCCTTCTATATAATATTTAGATTACTTTAAGACATTTTAACCACCAATAATGTATACACTTCAACACTAATAAAACTTTGTAATACTTTTGTGATACTATTAAAACTTCAAGGATATAATCGTATAACATAACGAAAACTACAAACATGAAAACCTTTTAAATGTTTTTTCTGGGTTCAGTAGACAATCTGACAATGTTTTACTATGGTATTTCTTTGACGCTTAAAGAAATAATTTATATACAAAGATTACATTTATAATAATTAGGAAAACTATTAAACTATTTGTGTTAGGTTAATATTTGATTTTTTACCGAAATCACAATGTAAAGTTATGTTGACAGCATTACAAATATTGTCATAACTTATAATACTTAAATTATTCTTAAATACTATAAACTACTATAAAATATTATAACAGAAACTATTTTAAGATTTATTTCTTAACGATAATGTGCATACTTGTATCAAAATTGGTTTATCGTTGTGATACCATTGTATAGTTTCCCGAGTCAGGTTGGTCTGATGAACGCCACATGTGAATGTTAACGATCCGCCCGGCGTCATTCGCCTTTCTGATGGTTCGTTGTTATAAGTCTTTCCTTCAGTTTGTTCGCCGTCATCTGCAAAATAATAATAAATAATATATTACAATACCAAATCGTTACATCCTTCCCTTAACGAAATACAAGCGCAAAGCTTAGTTTTCCAAATATATTCGTCTAATTTTTTTTTTAAATTTCACGCGAGGTAAAAAATGTTCTCTTTTCCTCTTCAGCCGTTTTCAATTAAAACACCGTTACACGTTCAAAATCGTTAAATAAGTTTTAATTATCCAAAAGAATTATATCAAGAATTTTTGTAGACAGATTCGGCTCGTTATTTTATGTAAAATAGAAACACCGAAATATGTGTCAACATTAATAGCAGTTAATTTTAATAATTTCAATCGTTTGGCAATACGAGTACAGAGTGTTCCAACGAACATTTTACATAAAGCGATTTTGTTTTTAAGTAAATATTTGTATTTTTTTTTAATGAATTTATATTTAACATTTTTTGCCATATTCATACACATCAGTCAAACAGCTGACTTTGTAGAAATTATAGATATAAATTAAGTAGGTAATTTTATATTTCTATTAAAAATAATAATATCAAAAAACAAGCATTAGAACAACAACAAAAATGTACTATGACTGGTCTAAAACCGGCTTATAGAAATACTTCTGGGCTTATAAAATTGCAATACTCAAACGCCGAGATTAAAATAGATAAATGTTAAAAATACATAGCATTACAATATATTATCTTTCCGCGATCTTCTATACTTCTATTCATCTTTAACTTCATAAAATTCATATTTAGTTATTTTAAACACTCTGTATTTCGGTCTGGGTCTTTTTTATTATTAATGCATTTTTAAACTGCAGCACTGTACAACTGTACTCTAGGGTCATTTAAACTACGCGAATAAAATAATTTATATAGGTGCCTAAAATTAACGATACCAAATTAATTATTGAAACGTGTTTTAAAGAAAAAACTTTGACAATCTCGTTTCAATGCATTTTGATTGTGTGTGTTAAAGTCTAAACAGGAATATTAAAATTTACATGACGTAGATTATAATATTGTATTATAACGTTTAATACGGTGACATAGAAAACTTTTACATAATAAAACATAAATAATAATAATAAAAATCAGATGCAGACCACACTTTGTAGTTTATACTTCGTGTACGTATAAACTATTTTAAGTGGTTTCCTGTTTCCGGGAGACTCGAGACCGTTTTCAAAATACTTTCCGGCTCTTAAACGTTTCTTTTTGGTTCGCTATATTCCTTTCTTATTTCCTTTTATTCTTACCAATCAGATTGTTTTTTTTATATATATATATATTTCATAGCGAGAACACGAGTTCACATTATTGTATTAGCCGGTGACCATTTGAGAATTTCATACCAACCCAAAACGTTTACGACCGAAAACCATTTAAACTCTATAATACGACAATTATAGTGTTCTACTGCAACTAGGTTAAGAACTTGAATTGAATTTAAATAGAAACTCAAACATAATATAAGTAAACATAGCTGTTACAAAATAGTAATAAACATTATCAAAATATTCGACATATGTTATTTACTATCAATATTACCCATCGTACAACTTTTCAGTGATATAGGCAGTAGATCACTTAAAGCTATTTAGATAATGCGGCATTGGTTAATTTTTAAGTATTAATAAATAAGGAAATACATGTGATAACATATTATTACTTACCAATAGGCGCTTCTCCCATATCGCCAATCATGACATCCGATTCTGAAAAAATATAACATTTTAGGTTGGAATTTTTTATTTCTGTTTCCAATCAGGTACATCATAATAAGTTAATAATATAATAGACGATTATAACCTTTATATCAAACCAATTTTATTATTCTCTTTAGTTACAGTATTTTTTGTTTGATGTTTAAGCTTTTGTAGACATGCAGAAAAAATTCCTATGTGTATTGTATATAATTAAATTATTTTCATTATAAAAAAACAATGTCTGCAGTTGAAGTTTTGATTGAAACTATATTTGATTTTATAATACACGAACTGTACTTTTATATGATCAATTACCGTTGTCCATTACTACACTCAAATACATTGCCAATCATGTATAGATAACGTTAAGAGGATGCTACACATCCGTAATTTATTCCACAACAAATGGTTTACTTAAAAAAGTTGCATAAACAAATTAAAAAAGGGGGGACAATGATTCTTTACGAATGAATAATTTTGATTGTGTTTAAGTCATCAAAAAACTAAAAACGCTACGGCATAGATTAAGTTCTTCTCTGTCCATTGTAAAAATTTTTGTAATCTATTATGTTAATATTGGCTTCGCATACTTGTCCCGCGCAAGGTAATTTTCATCGAGAACCAATTGTAATTTATCCTATAGAAATGACTGTGATAGTCTGACAAAACAATTTGCAATTAATAATAAATCACCATAATATTAATAACTATACACTTTATTTCAAGCTCTAAATTAAGATTTTGCGAAAAACTGCCTACACTTTACTCCTTAGAAATAGGCAGTGTAGCGTCTGATTATGATTGAGTTATCTTTAAATTATTTATGTCAAAAAACAATTGTCACGTAAAAATTCAAACTTTGTGGTTTAATTTTTTATTAAATATTATAAAACAAAAATATATAAAGTTTCTTTGCACATTCGCAAAGAAACTTTGACAGCACATTCGATAGCAGCTCGTTTGTCTAAAAAAAGACTACTGTACCTATATCAAACAATCTAAGGCAACACGTGTTCAATAAAACGAGTAATAATAAAAATATAATATGGTTGTATTATTTGGTTTCCTTCGAATCTTATTGAAAATAATCTTCAACGTTAATATACATTTAATGATCCTCAATAAAGAAGTTATTTCTTTTTTTGGTTGTAAGCTCAAAAGGATTGCAATAAATTTTAAGTAATAAATACAATAGAATGAAAGAGTGGTATGAGAACGAACGCAGAACTTAAGCTAGCTCACTTTGTATAACCTTTAAGATACCTATTGACTTTACTTATGCTATTTATCGTTTTGTGTACACATAAATAGCAACTTCAAACAAAACATTATAAAATAACCACAAAATCATTTTAGCATAAACTTGTCAACGGGTCCGCATTATTAGTATAATAGAGGAGCTTATTTTGACAATATTTCCTAATTCCTAATTTGTATGAAAGATTTAAAAACAGCTTAAAAAATATATTTGTCATATTTGTATAAACTAACATCGAAAACAAACAATGATAGTATTATTATGACAACAATACATTATAATATGTTGTTTTGTAATTTCACAGATAAAATTGTAGTGCTCTTTGTGAAATTAAACCAAAAAAAAAGAAGCATTTTAAAAGTCATTTTAGAATAAAGTACATTTATTTTTACCATTTATTTAACGAAAAATACTCTTGTTCACTAGAATAGTTGTTACTTGTTAGTGTAACATTATACGGAATGGGGCATGAGCGAAAACAAAATTAATGTTGTTTCCTTATTGCCTAGCTAAAGTCATTTCCGGTTTATTAAATATTTGATAATGGCAAGGGAAAAGTTTGCGCGTTACTGCTCTACAACGGTGCATTTGCACAAAATTCTGTTTCCCAATGGGCAATGAACATATTTTATGACGACTTGATGGCTAAACCACAAAGCCCTAAAAAAATATACTACTCCGCCAGAGTACCATCCAAAAGGGAATTTGTTTGGGAGTTTGCCAAAATAACTAATCGATAACCACTAATTATTTGATCTCGTTTTAAGCGTTTAGGTAACCTATAATTTAGTAAAAAAACAATAGTTAAACAAATAATTTGTATTTTTCTTTTACGACCATACTAAAGGTATTTGATTTTGCTACATAACGCATAATGATACATATATTTTGTAATCTGACAGTTTATGTAACTTTTATTTTTAACCCGTAAATGCGAGTTGTCAAAAATAATATTGGTAAATATTATTTACTTTTATTGAACAATGCGTTAAAAAGTCATGAAAATTTAATTTAATATTTATTTGAAAATGTATGTACCTACTATATATTATAAATATACAGCTTGTATGTAAAAGGAAATAATGTTTACAATGGTACCTACATGTGTCACTTGTAATAAGAGATGACAGCAAAATAAAATGGTATGTCTTCAACAAGTAAAATGCACCACAAGCTGCATTTGTCAGCCACTATTTCACTTCAATTTCAATAGCGAAAAAAGTACTTTCAGACGGTCATCTTATTCGCTAAAACCTTTTCGAACATGACAGATGAAAAGACGTGTCAATATCATGACTGGCACAAATTTAAAAAAGAACGCATAATTTGAAATTGTATTTTTGTATTAAGTTGTGTTGTAAACCTAATACTATTAGCAAGGTTTCTGGCAATAAAGCTTAAAGCGTGAAATTAATAAAAACAAATCTACAAAATTCGTAATAGCTATATTTTCTAGTTATTTAAATTTTAAACAAATTAATATATACCTATTAATTGTAATAAAAATACAAAAAAAACATATTTCTTTTGAAAGAGAGTATTGAAATACTCTTCTTGTGAAGGTGATTTTAAGTACCTATTTATAAAACAGTTTTTTTTGCTCTAGAGTCGCCTACACCATCTGAGTAGTGTGTAATAAAATGTTAAATCTTTTTACTTTAGAATTGATCTGATTAAGAGTCATATAATAGATTTTTCGGGCAAGATAAGATACTAATTATATTTACAAAACAGATAATATTAAACCGTAATACAATATCAGAACGTAGTCTAAACAAAAAACTAATGGCCGAAACCTATTTTGAAAATTCTAATTTGCATCTGCCTTACACAGAAATCTCGATATAATACCTACTATTTAAAAAAATTACCACAGTCATTATTTACATTATATACCACTCTCAATGATCGTATACTTTAAGGAGTTGGATGCTTGAGTTAGATCTTTGTTAATTAATATTCACATTAAATACTATAATAACATACTAATACTATTATAACATATTTTATTAATAAATAAATTAAAGTGCATAAAATGCTAATTTACTCTTGATAAAACTATAAATCCTTATCATCGCTGGTTCAACAATTTTCTTGTCATACAAACTATTGAACTTTAAGTATAAACTTTGAGAATATATATTTTTTTTTAAAGTTTTCTTACCAAACACTGTAAGGTTAACAAGAAATTTAATTTTCGGTTCGGTGTTAACTTGACACTCGTAAGATCCCATATCTCTCTGTGATACATCTTTAATCTGCAAATTCCATATTGCAGATTCTCGTAGTGGATGATGTATTCCAAAACGACCATCGTTGGTGAATAAAAATGGACCAGATGTAAGTATGTGCAAATCCCGCATTCGAATCCACGAGACCTGATGACAAATAATGATTAAAATGATTAATATATAACGCTAAAAATAGGGAGAAAGTATAATTATATTTTATCTATTGAAACAATGTTTTGTTTATTTAATCAGTACATTATCTTCGTTCAAGAAGATAAGAGCCATAATATAAAAAATGCTTTAACATGATCTAGACACCGTATCCAGTCAATTATTTGTGGAGAAGGAGAAATAGTGTGCGAAGGGAGTGGTCACCAGCTTGAGTTAATATTTTGCTTAGAAAAAACAATCTTTGGTACTACCAGACTGGGAGCACCTTTGATTCTCAACATGCAGCGGTTGTTTTCAAATATTTCAGTTTTAGCGTTTTACTTAGTGAGTTTAAATTTGCAATGCTTGGGCGATAAGAGCAGCTATATGATGCCCTATACGCTGTGCTCCGCGTCTGAACTTGTATGTAGGGAAATTATTTTCGTTTTGTTTTAGTAACTATTCATTCGGTTCCGTTTACAGCTTCAATAAATCTTAAGGCAGAACGTTTTACGAGTAAACGCTTTGACGGTAGAGAAAGGCAGAGGTTAGGGTGGCAGATTAGCCACGACAGGGTAAAGGCCGCACCAAATAATTCACACATTACGTTACACCATTCCATACGAAAAAATATCGTTTAATATAAACCACCTCTTTCTTGTTTTGGCCGGCTGCCTGCCGAAATGAAAACTACAGACGGTATAAGAAATATTTTGAAAAGTAAAAGAAAGAATAATAATAATGAAATGAAATCGACCTCGGAGTGAACGTTATGCCAAATAAACACGCTACACAATATATATATACATTTACTACATACTAGCTTTAATCTTTAGTTTTAAAAAACTTTTTAAAAAAGTTTCAAAACTATTCACAGAAAAAGTTCATAACGATCAGAAGTCTTTGTTGAAAGAAACCAACGATTATATAATATGATTGATAGGTATATAGATATTTTAGTAATAGAATAATATGTAGTATAAGGCTTTATAGCGCTAGAAAAGCTTAAGCCAAAATTCCATTTTTTCGAGAAAAAGCCAGTTATAGTTTTTTAAATATCAATTTAAAAAAAATAATAAGTTATGCTATAAATGGATAAACATTTTTCAGGTTTAAGTCAGTTTTGTTTTGAAATATTACATTATTCTTAAATGATTAATGTATTGAAATGAATTAGAATATGTATTCTAATTTAAGAAGGTTCAATAAATTGTCGACGTAAAAGTCAAAAGTAAAAAACAATAATTATATTGATATTATTAACAATTACATTAATGAACGTTGTGGTATAATGTTATCTATAATAAGGAATTTATTAGAGTTACGAATGTACATCAAGCTATTGCGTGAAAAAAAGCAACTATTTGGTGGCAATAACACAATTTACTAAGATGTCATTTTTCAATCCAAAGATTGGTTTGCAGCAATTTTCCACGGTTCTATAAAGTTTCATGTTCATTGCTGATACGGGGATTGTTAATGCTCTATCTTTGCCTTCCGTATCGAAGTGCAATCACCAGCTATATGGCTATCATCTCTTCTGAGTTCTGAATGTTATTTGGTGTATAGCTGTTTCTACTGTTACCGGCGTCCACACCCAATATTATAAGAGTTGCTGGCTTCCTCTACAAATCACTTTTAGTCGCATTTTACGACAAGCATGGACAACCGATATGGACTATTCTAACCCCGGCCATCAGAGGCGTAAAATCTTACGTCGGCAAAAAAAATAAGTATTTTAACTGGGTCAAACATAATAACGTGTATAAATGATACCATTAAACTACACCGAGGGATAATAGTTATGAAGTGTTCAATCTATACTAACAATTGAGTATCGTCATTGAACGACATTGTACATTTAAGAACAAACTTACCCGAGAACAATGATACTGTTAAAGTTTTAAATGTTCTTCCGACATACTTTTTCAAGTTTTTTTATTCGCGAATGAGTATAGGAGTTAGAATAAACAACAAGAACAGAAATTAATACTTTTCCCTGTCAGAGTCATAACTCTTTCCACAATTTTGCACTTAAAGATATCAAATTTATTGTTGGAAATAAATATTGATCTATCACAGTTACATTTTGTAGAGCATTGTTATCAGTTAGGTATAGACCACACTTATGTCCGAAAAAAAAATAATAACATGTCACTTTCCTTTTTTCACGCCACACAATTTTTAATAAATCGAACCATAATATTATATATTTGATTCAACTATGCGTTTAAAATAAACTATTTATTAGAGAACGACCAATAGGCAGTATTAGAAAACAACAAACAAATTTTTTTTTAAAGACATCAGGAGACAGGAAATAAACATTGCGATATTTTTTTAACAATAATAACTATATTATTAATAATAGTGTATTTACTAATAAATTGAGGCAATTTGTACAGCGAGTCTTACAATATTACATTAAATACGTACAACAATGCATTAAACTTAACAATTGATTTACCTGCTACAATAGAATGTTTAGAGAAAAATGAAATACATTAAAAATTGTTTTTGTTGAAAATACAATTTATTAACTTAGGAGAACGTTTTCCTATGCACTATTTATTGCAGTAGATATTTTATTTTTGTAATATTATCATTATTATTGCAGACATATAAAACGTCAATCAATAATATTTTAATAACTCTAAAGGCTTGTACATTTTTAAACGAATTATCAAAAATGTACGCAATAAACACAAAATAACTGTATTTTCAGTTTTATTTAAATATGGTAAATAGTATTTTTTTTTAAATTTTAAATAATTTTCAAGGACTAAATGATTTTATTTAACATGATAGGACAGATTATACTATTTATGTTATTCACGCAAACTTTTCCCGAAGTTCACAGTTTCGGCCGCTGTCAATGCAAAATTTTACTATATAAATATTATTACACGGTACCGTCGCAACGAAAGCCATGTGGTCTGTTTGATCTAAAAACCACCCACGACCTTACCACGCTTCAGCTGTTCAAGTTACAGTGTGGATTTATGCACCTCAGAAGGACAAGCTGCTGGCACTACGTGTAATATATATAATATACATTAATTTATTAACGATCCGGGCAAACCGGACATGCCTGCCGTTCATTTACACGAAACAACAATACCAGACCGCATTTAGGTTCTAAGGGGAAGGGACCTTGTACGATGGGATAATGGAGGCTGCTCCTTGTTTAGGCCGTACAAAAGCTTCTCGCGGCATAGTATTTTTTTTTATAAGATACTGAGACATTTAAAATGTTTTATTCTTACTTTGCATTGTTTCAGATGGATATACATATTAAAAAATATAAATATATATATATATATATATATATATATATATATATATATATAGAGAGAGAGAGAGAGAGAGAGAGAGAGATTGATATATTTTAATAATATACGGTGATTCATTTAGGATAAGACACCCATTTTCTCCTAAAATAATTGCTATATTATAATTTTCCTTTTTGAAAACATTTTTGTTTTTTATTATTATTATATACAAAATAATAAAACTACTAAATACTTTCTTTTTATAACATTTTCCAGAGGTCTACTTACTTATGAAACTTAAATAAGAACGCATATTATATTTAATAACTTGTCGATAATCAGTTATGGATAATTACTTTTAAAGTTATTATGTTTTAAATTTTAAACCGAAGGTGGAGTGCGGTTGTATCGAGACACATCTTTCCTCCCGTCCTGAACTTTCATAACTTTAAAAGTAGTAATTCAAAACTGGATTGATAAATCAACAGTTTCATCAAATTATTCTTAATTAAATATACACATACCCATTTAAGTTTCAAAAATGATAGCGCTCTAGAAAAAGTTATAAAAGATACAAATTTTAATATTTTCTAATATTTTACAATACTAAGTACTTTAAAACTAAGTATCGCCAAAAAATTACTGTTATTTTAAGAGAAAATTAGTGTCATATCCTTAAAGAATCACCCTGTATAATATGTATAAGATTAAATAGATCAAACGAAGAACGAGTTTACTTGTACGAGCGGACTAAAGATGCTTAAAACATATAAAATAAAAAATATGATAGTTATAATAACTTTATTAAAAATTATTAATTACCTAAATGAAGAATACATAAAAAATTTATAGACTAACTTGTCGGGATACGTTTATGTAATTAAAATATTATCTCGATTTTAACATTTTACAAATCGTGCTATTTTTATATTTTAACTTTAAAACCGTTTGATAAATTCACCATTGAATATTTTATCTAATAAAATCAGTATTATAGATACTTTAAAATTATGATAAACATGTAGAATATATAATTATATATAGAAATATTGTTGGAGGATAGTTTTATGCGCTGCTATAGGATTTTTATTGTTCCGCATAAAAATAAGATCAAATCAAGTGAATTCGGATTCACTTATTGACTTGAACAGAAAGCATTGAAAACCCGGGTTGATGGAATTCGACTTCTTCCAGTCAACTACTCATTCCAGTCGTTGCTTCCTCGGCCAAATTTCATGGATCGCACGGTTGATAACGGGATAACCTGATCTGTCTTCTGGCGTTTTACTGTCAAGATTTATTGCGAGGATTACCGTTCAATAATATAAATACACTTATTAGTTATATGTTCAGTCCGATAAACGGTATACATTTTTTTATTCAAGCACTAACTTGGTTGTTGTTATCGCGATAAGCGGTACACCGCACCGGTGATTCAATATCTCAGTAATGTGTTATTTGTGAATCGTACAAATGGCGGGGACATTTGTTTATCTTGTTGTTCAAAATCGTTTCCGATCATTAGATTTTATCAATAGAAAAGCGCGAGGAAGTATATTTTGATGATTATTAACAATTATATTATTAATGTTGTTTTTACCACTGACGTGTTAAGAAAACGCCACACCGGCCATTTCTAAGGAGTAAAGTATAGGCAATTTTTCGAAAAATCTTAATTTAGAGTTTCAACTATAATGTATACTTGTTAATACAATGATGAGGATA